CTTGGTGGAACTCACATAACACTTCCCTAATTAATATCTAATTATCCCTATAGTAAGTGGCTCTCTGATATATTCTGTAAAATAATTCAATACGCCCTCGGGGCTACACACACATACACACACATAAACACTCATATATATATATATATATATATATATATGTACACACAGAATAATACTCAGTTTCAGTTATCTCCCCTTAGCAACTCAAGTCTCCAAGTTTTTGGTCACCTCTGCTGTGGCCAGGTATTGAACTCACAGCGAACAAAAACTTGGAAGTTTGAGTTACTAAAGGAGATAATTGAAACTAAAACTGAGATATCCAGAATATCATGGCTCGTGGAAGTAAAAAAAAAAAAAAAAATTACCCCGGTGGAACAAATAAAGGGTTCAGTTCGAAATTCCAATCACCTGAAGAAGAAGGCCGGAGGGTACAACGGCCGAAACGTCGTAAATATGACAGAGGTCATGATAACTGTCCTAAAATGTAAATTGTGTAAATTCACACACACACACACAAACACACACACACACACACACACACACACACACACACACACACACACACACACACACATTATATATATATATATATATATATATATATATATATATAAGTTATAAAGAACTTGGTAAACCGAATTAGTAAATCCAAGGAGGATGAAATCCTGAGAGCTCAATGTGAAGAACAGAGCTAATATTTAAAGAAAAACAAACCACTTTAAGGTACCATTACAATAATTTATTTCACCAAAATCCTTTTTAAAGGATTTCGGATCATCAGGTAAACACTTCCATCAATGAAAATTATTGTGGTCTGTTTTTTCTTTAAATTTATATATATATATATATATATATATATATATATATATATATATCCCACCGAGGTAGATTGTTTTATATATATATATATATATATATATATATGGACATTGAGATCAATACCAAATTTTTTCATGTGTTATTCTTATTCTTCCTATTGACGAGAGCAGGGTGCATTTTACGAAAGTTTAAGAAGTGACTTTCTGATATTTCCTGTAAAAGTTTCGACACGCTCTTGAGTGTACAGAGACACACGCACAAACACAGACATACATACAGACATACATACACACACACATACACACGGAATAATACTCAAACACAGACAGACAGATAAACAAACACCCACTCATACATAAAATCAATTATATATTCTTTGTATACACGGGTAGTGATGACAAACTTACCCAATTCCTTATGACCCTAAACACAGTGCACGACTCAATTAAGTTTGACTATGAAAAATCCACAACATCAGTAACATTTTTAGACACCCGCATTTACATAGATGAAAACAGCAAACTACAAACGACACTACACACTAAAATCACCGACACCCACAACTATCTACACTTTAAGTCTTCCCAACCTAAACACCTCAAAGAGAACCTTCCCTATTCACAAGCACTTAGACTCAGAAGGATATGTTCCAACAATGAAGAATTAAATAAACACATTGAAAATCTGGAGCATCAATTCACAACACGTGGCTATAAACAACACCTAATCAGGGAACAAATAAATAAAGCAATTTCCACACCTAGAGAAGACACTCTAATGTACAAGATTAAAAATAAATCTAGCCGCATCCCTCTAGTAACCACTTTCAATCCCACTCTGCCTCCACTATCCCAAATAATCAAACGTCGCTGGGAAATACTACATCTCAAACCAGACCTAAAAAGTTGTTTAAGGAACCCGGCCTTCCTGCATATCGTAGACCTAAGAACCTAAAACAAATCATAGGTAGTAACCACATTTCAGGGGACAAGGCAATCCGTAATAAACTAACAACAAAAACAACAGGATTTTCCCAACCATGTAACAACAAAAGAAGTTTATGTTGCAACCATATTAAAAACACGAATTCATTCACTAGCTCAATCACTAAATCTACTTTCAAAATCTACTTTCAAAATCTACCACGATTCTAACTGTAGAAGTCATAACATAATTTACCTCCTAGAATGCACACTATGCCAGAAACAATATGTAGGAAAATCTGAATGGCCCTTTCACTACAGAATTAATAATTATCGCAATCGAATTAAGTCGACTCCCCATGAAAAATTATTACCTGTAGAACAACATTTCCGCCTGGAAAAACACGATTTCAAAACCCATGCCAGATTCACTATAATTGAGAGAATAGAAAAGTTCAGAGCAGATAACATTAGAAAGATTTTAGAATTCCATGAAAATAAGTGGATACAATGTTTAAATCACAACATCCAGCCTGGCTAAACCATAAATTTAACAATACAGATAGTACTAATATATAACTCAGCAAATCAAAACCTACCCACATTTCTCAACCACACAAGACAGACATGCTTACGGAGGTGTGGAGGCCTCACACTTATACACTCACCCACACAAATATACACACTTACACAAATTATACTCACTCACGCCCTAATGAGCCAAATGATAACACACACCCACAACAATACACACGCTTACACATATCATACTCACTCACTCCCCAAGAACCAAATAACACACACACAAACACTAAACAGAGACACATCCCCTCACTAGGTCCAATAAAACCAGAGAATTCAGAGCAGCATGTATCTATCCAGCTCAAATAACAACTTAAAAGAGACTGTTTGACCAACACAAGGAATGTTAAAAGATTCATGTTAAAAAGATAAAAAAGAAAAAGAAAAACAATTGAAAACTACAGACAGAAATTCATTTTCTCCAGCAAAAGATTCATTTCTGTAGTTTACTGCTACCAGCAAGCAGACATATTTCTCCTCCCGATGATGGCCATTTTGGTCGAAACTAGTCGAGGAATCTAAATAAAATAATGATAAAAAAACGAAAGAATATTAATCTACAACTCAGTGTGTCTAAAGATTTTAATTTTTTAAATTGTTCAATATATATATATATATATATATATATATATATATATATATATATATATATATATATAGTAGTAGGCAGGAACAATTCCAGGACACACACGGATATTTAATAAAGTGTTCAAAATAGCGTTCAGAATGGAACGTTTAGAGTCGTTTAATACCACCAAAACGCAACATCCATGATCAGTTCGGGTTTAATTATGAAACAGACTACCACTGCTGGGTGGTGACCTCAACGTCCACTTTTATATTTATGCATACATGTTATTTATTTTATTTTATAGATACAAATGATATTTAGCCCCCCACCACGAGGGTTACATGTGGCACAAGGCTGGGTTTAACGTGGGATTTTCGAGCCCGTAGGCTCGGCCAAAAATATTCCCTCTTTGAACCCGCATAGACGGGTTCAGGGGCAGTCAACCACACCGAACGAGACTCTGCCCTTCGGCGGAGCCTGGTCCGGGTTCCTCTCCGCCCGAAGGCAGAGATTTAGGCTGTTAGCCAAGTTAGCCAAGTTTTATAGATACAAATATTTAAGTAAATGCTCTGTTTATAATAAACAGTATTAAACAACATTTACCAGCCTGAATGTCCGAGAAATATGAGCAGACATGAATGTACGTGAGAGATTCATGGAAGATTGAAGTTTAAATACAGTAAATTCGACCTTACTAACCGAACGCTACTTCGTGGCCAAATCGGTAAAGGCACGCCAGGCTAAAATGACATGTTCCGTATAGGATACAGGTTCGAATCCTGCCGGAGGACGAATATTTTCTGTGAAAATTTCTCGGACATTCAGGCCGGTTAAGTTGTTTAATCAGCCATATAGTGTACTCTGTTTTGAATGGGTTTCCGTTACGTTCAAAAGTCTTCTCATTCTTTTTCGCTCCCGGCAGCCTTTTGCGTCTTAGTAGCGTTATCACCTTGCTTTGTGTGAATTTATTAAATAATACATACTTGTTTTTCCTTATCACCGTTTGTGATAATGTATAATCAATAAATTAATAGCGGTTGAAATGGTTTACCTTTCGACCGACTTTAATGGTTCGCGGATATACTGCTCATCAGGGTCAGATAAATCTGGATTCAATCTTTATAAGAAATTTTTTAATGCTACTAGTATTAAGAGAATGTGATCAGTGGTGCCGTAAATTCTATTTTCCGGTACTTGTTTTTAATTACCTGTCATTGGTTCGTTGAGTGGCGACGAGCGCGGCGCCACACGTTGTTTAAAAATATTCCGCAGCAGTCGAGTTATATGGTAATACGGTCTCGCTTATGTCTTCTATACAGCTGCATATTTATTCATTTAGGATGCCACCCAAGAGACCAGGAAGTACAACTAACATTATTATTTATGATTGAAAAAGTGTAGTTGTAGCATATGGTCCGCGTCTGGAAGGAATTATTTTATCGCATTGATGTTGCCTCTGCTGCAGGTGGTGGCCACATTGAACATTTATAAGACAGGAAATAAAAGAATACTTGTCACTTGGCTGGAGTTTTCAACTCAGTAGATAATGATATGATGCTACGCGTCTGGGAGAATTTCTCTTATCACATTGATGTTGCCCGTGCCACATTGAACATTTGTAAGACAGTGTTACAGTTTTTTGTGTATATGGATGAATATATATATATCTAGTGAGTTAGTCCAAATGCCTTCACTTGGTTTATAGTCCACCAATAGAAGGCTAACCAATCAGAAGCCGCAGAACATTCTATCCGCCGTGTATAAAGGCGGCCATTTTTGTTTACCCTACCCGAATGACCAGTGCCAACTTGTCAGGTTGACAGAAGGAAGTACTACGCTCTGCTACTTTGCTGCGATATCCACTGCTAACCTGAACTACACTTTCCTACTGTCTCAGAAATATTCACTGCTAACTTCTGGATTCTATACTCGAAGACGACCGTCATGAATTTATAACAGACAGGAAATAAAAGTTGATTGTGGGTAGAATAATTGTGACTCGGAAGCATTAATGGTTGTTTTATCTCCTGGTTTAAAGGTTGATCTACCTTTGATAACTCAGCGATATATGTGGAATGTGTTGGGAAGACTATGCTTAGGCTTTCGGTCACATCACGTTGAAACACCGGTTATCGTACGATCACCGAAGTTAAGCAAAGCCGAGCTTGGTCATTACCTAGATGGGTAACCACTTAATAATATCAGGTGCTGTAAGCTTATATGTGCGAGTAGTGTAATGGGTAATAGCTCCGAATTGTTAACCAGAGGGCAGAGTTCCAATTCCTATTGGGTTCTTTATATTCACTTACGTGCAAATACCCTTAGGAAAGATATGAATACACCTATTCTCCCTAAGCTATGGGTTAATTAGTAAGACTTGTATCACTAAAAAATTATTATCTGTAAAAAATTCTTACATTATAAAAATATTTTCTGGCTTTAAATAACCTGAAAAGCGTTGATAAGAAGTAAAAAACGAATTAAATACTGAATACTTACACAGGCATGTCTTTTAGATTTATGTATATTCTCTGGGATATAAATGTATAGAAACGGCCATGGCCACAAAGTGAGGAATAAGATTATATATTGATTGTAATATAGAATTGATCCCTCACATTATATCCGCATTATAATTTCTTGTTTTTTTTTTTATCAAATTCTGATTAGGTATCATATATATATATATATATATATATATATATACACCGCTTCTCCCTATCCCAACTATGGGCTTATTAGCAAGTCTTGTATCATTACTATGGCAAAAAATCTTACAATCTAAAAATATTTTCTGGCTTTAGATAACGTGAAGACGGTCGATAATCAGTCAATCAATAAAGAACAATTTTTATATAACTTTTTTTTGTCTTTGAGTGATTTCTCTCATCCGGCATTTCCGTGATCCGGTAGTTGTCTAGTCCCAAGTAAGCCGGATTAAAGAGGTTGGACTCTACTTTCGGCTGATGTAATAAATGAAACTTTTGCGTTGGTAAATTGTAGGAGACCTGCCTTCATGAAATTGGACATATCTTGGGCTTAGAACATGAACACAAGCGGGCAGATCGAAATTACTACATTCGCCTTATTTTTGAAAACATCGAACAGGGTAAGTATTGAATTTTTGCTTAAACCTCATGATAGGTTGGTTTAATTACCAGCGCAATGGTCGGATATAAATAATGGTTTAAAATTCAGTCATTAAGTTTATTATAAATGCATACAAAAATCATATATATATATATATATATATATATAATCCCCACCGTGCCTCCATATATATATATATGGAGGCACGGTCGGGTAATGGATATGGGCTTGGATTGGGGAATCGCAGAGCCGAGTTTGAATCCATTACATTTATTTACGAGCTAATACCCTTGGGAAAGGTATGAATCCTCTTCTTCTCCCTCCAGCTATGGGCAAAATAGCAGGACAGACTAGGTTCTATAGCCTTGGATGGCAACTGGTCTAGGAGAAGGACAACTCTGAATTCAAAACCTGAGGGGGTTGTTTGGGGACCTTGTCGCACGTAGTGCACCAGATCTCTGTATTCGGTCCTTCAAAAAGTGTGGATGGTCCTGCACGAAACCTTCACCACTATAATCGAATCTCATGTACTGGTGTCGGGCTGTCAGTTTCCTGGAAACTGATCTGCTTGACCCTCATACGTCGAACCCGACAGGAGAATCGATTATATATATATATATATATATATATATATATATGCATACACAGACATATACATACATACACATATATAAACACATATATATATATATATATATATAAACACATACATAGAGATACATAAACACACACACACACACACACACACACATATATATATATATATATATATATATATATATATATATATATACATACATAAACCTACACATATACTAAAAATATTATCCTAGTGACAATAAAGGACTATAAAGTCTATACAAGGTAAAAATGTAACAAAACACAACTGTTGATTATTAAATCTACAAGCAATTATAAAACCATTATCAAACCATTGTCTGTATACACGGGTGTATAAGCGCGTGTGTACGCCTGTACTTGTGTTTATATGCATGTGTGTAGAATGCTGATATTTTTTCCTTTTGCTAATTTTCTTGTCTCCTCATACTCTCTCACTATTCTTTTTTTTCTCTCTCTTTCGGCTCTGACTGTCAGAGATAATGTAGCAATTTTATTCCTGGTCTCAGAGACACGACGTTTATTTAGGCTAATTTTTCCCTAATATTCTGGGGTTTATTTAATTTTGGAAAATATAGGTGTATTTATATTTATTTCTTGTTTATTTTATTATTATTATTATTATTATTAATGCTTAAATTGCAAAGTAAATAGTTGTTCATATGTCTTCACTTAACCATTATTTAATTTTTCTTATTTAGTAGTTGGTAGTTTGTTTTTACTTAGGTTGGTGGTATTTTAAGTATTAGTGTATTAATTATAGAAGATTATGTTCAACATTCTGTTTTAGTTATTGTTGTTTGAATGTATACGCGCACATGCGCACACATATATATGCCATTTCAACAGTAAAATGATGAGACCTTGCCGCCAATCTAGTACTGCGCTTACATTCATAAAGTCTAGTTACCACAGATGGAAACTTGATCAAGACGATTAGCATGAAATTATTTATGGTGCAAGGAAAAAAATCACAACAGTGGGAAAGTGACTGGTGTCGAGATGCCAGGTCAGGATCAATAACAATGCAGACTCTTCTTTGGAATTTATCAGTTGGTTTGTTTGTTTTCGTTTAGCGACATATATTCCGTTTGGGTTATTTAATACTGAAATCTAAATATGAAAATTCAAACTTTATAATTAATTGAAGAGAATGACATTATTTCATGATTAAATTATAATTATTAGCTGCATTTTGTTTTAGAAAATAATTTTACAAAATCAAACGAAGCGTGAAACTTGTTTCTCCTTCTAAGAAATGAGATAAAGCATAGCAAATTGTCATTTTTTTCATTTTTATTACACCTTTTTACAATTTATGTCAGGTCTTCAATTTTACTAATGTATTGATTGTCATCTAGTCAGGAAATGTATTGCTTGTCATTTTAGTGCAAAACGGTATTGTTCGTCATTCTAATATAAAAATGTATTGTTAGTAATCTACTCTAAAATGTATTGCTGGTGATTTTATTACAGAACGGTATTGTTCGTCATTCTAATATAAAAATGAATTGTTAGTAATTTGCTCTAAAATGTATTGCTGGTCATTTTATTGCAGAACGTTATTGTTCGTCATTCTAATATAAAAATGTATTTTTAATCTACTCTAAAATGTATTGCTGGTCATTTGGCTATAAAGCGTATTGTTGGTGATTTTAGCATAAAAATATATTCTCGGCAATTTTATGATAAAAATTGGTAAAAGTTGGTAATCTTTTATAAAAATGAATTGCTGGTATTTTTTACTGTAAAATGTATTTATATACCTTTCTACTGTTTTGATTTTTGTTAGGAGGTTCATTAATTGCTTATATCTGGAAGCCTAACATATCATACCATCCATGGTCAAGGTGGATCTGCGAAGAAAAGAAATTCAGAAGTAGACTGACATTACTTAAATATTTTCAATCTACTGCCGGATGTAGTTTATCGTCATACCCAGGATTGCTCATTAGTGGTGCTGGTTTGGGGTGTTACCATTCTTCAGAAGTGCAGTGGGCGTATTCTACAGCCCCATCCGACAGGGCGGATGAAGTGTAGCCGATTGTATAGCGGCTCGGATTGAAGAATCGGAGAGCCGAGTTTGAACTCCAGTCGAATCCATTACATTCACTTACTTGATAATAAAAAAAAGGTATGAATTCTCTTGTTCTCCCAGCTGTGGGTAAATAGCCGGACAGATCGGGTTCTATAGCCTTGGATGGCAAGAGGCAGAAAGAAATGGCAACCTAATGCGGGAAAAGATCTGCCTTGTCAGTCATGTATCGAAAGATACATGATTGCCTAATCGTATATCATGCATGGTACATAACTGAGCTATAGCCAGATCACACTCAGGAAGAAAAAAATATTAAATCTAACAACTAAACGGCTCTCTGTTAATTATCCGAGAGACTCCTTTCTATCTTCGATCAGCATGATTCACTCTCCTGGCTGATGCTAATCTCTAGGAATCCTTACGCCATCTGGGGTTAACATTCTTGTCTGACATGAAATAGAAAGACTATATTGAATCCATTGATAGGTGAGCTGTTAAGAAAATCATTTCACTGTGTCGGGCAAGAGATTTTTTTTTTTAAATTCAGAATCTTATCTTACATATTTATAAGTCTACCATTCGTCAATACTTAGAATATTGGTGCCACTTAGGGTCAGATAATCTTTTTATATATTCAGTGATCCTTGATAAAAGCCTTGATAAAAATCCAAAGAAGAATCAGTAATATTATCGGTCCTGATCTGGCCGCTCGGCTTCAGTCTCTTTCCAGGTGTCTTTTCTGTAGAAGCTTTCATGGTAATTGTTCAGAGGAGCTCTTCGCTATGGTTCCCAGACTTTGTGAATTTAAGCGCAGTACCAGACTGGCGACTAGGTTCCATCATCGAGTTGGATGGATGTAAACGTAAATTCTATGTTAAAAGTTTCTTTTTTCGCACTCCTTGTTTGTGAAACTATCTTCCGGCACCATGCTTTGATCTTAAAAAAGTTAATTGCAATGTCAATCGCTATTTACTGTCCTCGTGATTACTCTTCTATTGTACTTGCTCTTTAGTAATGTTTCTGTTTTGTTTTTGTATTCTTCCATACCATGTAATCTATTGTACATTAGTGGATTTACTGCCTTGATTGAGGTGAACTCAGTTAAAGAAAGATCTTATCATCGGCTTCTCCCTTTCTGACTTGAGTTTATTAATATCGACAAGGAAGTTGAGTTTATCGACAAGGCAAAAAAAAAAAAAAAAAAAAAAAAAAAAAAAACAGAAAATGACTTAAGGTTAAAAAATATTTTCTAATCAGCAACGTCGGGTATACGAAATTAACCAAAATAATGTTTTGTGTTGGGGTATAGATCTGTCGAGTGATTTAAGAAAATAATCGATTCGAATCTATTTTATTGTTTGATGTTTGACTATGAATCGTGTTTGGTCAGCTACAAGAGTAAATTAATTTGCTGTTTCTTTATAGAAATTTCTTCTTTATATGTCACCTCCTGACGTCGGCGATCATGG